AAATAAGTTTTAATTACATTTTTTACACTTTTTTTTTACTGTACTACTCTGGAGGGGTGAACAGGGGATTTTTTTTTTACACTCTGTTTGCTGTTACAGAGATGATCACTGTAACAGCAATCATTTGAACTATCATGAATGGGTTTCATTCATAACAGCTGAGCATATTGTTGACATACTGTGATTGGCTACAGCTAATCACATGATACAAGGTGCCAGGTACCATGCAAAAGCTGGGGGTTGATCACAGCATCACTACAGTAAGCACAGCTGTTATGAATGAAACTCATTCGTAACAGTCATGTACACATTGTGACATGTCCTAATTAAAAGGTATGCGCTAATAACAAACTTATACAAAGGTGTATATCATCTTCCAAAAAACATTAGTGTTTTAAATAAATAATTATAGTATCCAAACATAAATTAGTGTCCAAAAAATATATATATATCTTCAGTGACTTGAACCAATTGTGAAAAATCCACCACCAAAGGAGATTAAATGAACTCACCAGAGCTAATGGCTGGTCAGATTATAAACCAGCAACAGCACTTGTGCTCTGGGAGCAATGAACCCGATGTCCAAATAGTTTCGCCCAACCGGTTTCATCACACTGACGTCATCAAGGGGCGGTACTGAAGTCACTGAAGATATATATATATTTTTTGGACACTAATTTATGTTTGGACACTATAATTATTTATTTACCCGCTTGCCGCCCTGCCACTGTGTATATACGTGTGCAGGGCGGCAGTGGAGCGCAAAAGCACGTTTTAAAACGTGCTCCGCGCTCCTAACACATTCGCAGGTAGGGAGCGCGCGCGCGCTCCCGCCGACCCTCGGGTGATACGATTCGATCCAGGAGGGATCAATCATTAGATTTCAGCCAGTGATTTCTGGCTGAAATCACATGATCGGTCCCTGTCCTATCCTGTCCTGTGTTGACATTTACACAGGGCAGGATATGATGTCATTCTTCTCTGCCTGGACACATTCCGTTCCAGACAGAGAAGAAGACATCCAAAAAGGAAGTACACAAGCACTACACTACAGTTAGAACACACTAGGACACATTTAACCCCCCCTGATCGCCCCCCCCCCCCCCCAGTTAACCCCTTCACTGCCCTGTCACCAGTGTCACTGATCAGTGAAGCGATTTTTACTGATCAGTGTCGCTGGCGACTTCCGATAGAGTTAGCGCCCCTCCCAGATAGCGCCAGTTTGCCCGCCAGTACACCAGTAATTCCGTTTAATCCCTTGATTGCCCCCCCCCCCCCCCCAGTTAACCCCTTCACTGCCCTGTCACCAGTGTCACTGGTCAGTGAACCAATTTTTACTGATCACTGTATCAGTGTCGCTGGCGACTTCCGATAGTGTTAGTGCCCCTCCCAGATAGCGCCAGATTGCCCGCCAGTACACCAGTAATCCCGTTTAACCCCTTGATCCCCCCCCCCAGTTAACCCCTTGACTGCCCTGTCACCAGTGTCACTGATCAGTGAACCAATTTTTACTGATCACTGTATCAGTGTCACTGGCAACTTCCGATAGTGTTAGCGCCCCTCCCAGATGATTGCCCGCTAGTACACCAGTAATCCCTAATCTCCTCCCCCCCAAGTTAACCCCTTCACTGCCCTGTCACCAGTGTCACTGATCAGTGAACCAATTTTTACTGATCACTGTATCAGTGTCGCTGGCGACTTCCGATAGTGTTAGCGCCCCTCCCAGATAGCGCCAGTTTGCCCGCCAGTACACCAGTAATCCCGTTTAAAAACCCCTTGATCGCCCCCTTCCCCCCCCCAGTTAACCCCTTCACTGCCCTGTCACCAGTGTCACTGATCAGTGAACCAATTTTTACTGATCACTGTATCAGTGTCGCTGGCGACTTTCCGATAGTGTTAGCGCCCCTCCCAGATAGCGCCAGATTGCCCGCTAGTACACCAGTAATCCCATTTAACCCCTTAAACCCCCCCCCCAGTTAACCCCTTCACTGCCCTGTCACCAGTGTCACTGATCAGTGAAGCGATTTTTACTGATCACTGTATCAGTGTCGCTGGCGACTTCCGATAGTGTTAGCGCCCCTCCCAGATAGCGCCAGATTGCCCGCCAGTACACCAGTAATCCCGTTTAACCCTTTGATCGCCCCCCCCCCCCCAGTTAACCCCTTCACTGCCCTGTCACCAGTGTCACTGATCAGTGAACCAATTTTTTACCGATCACTGTATCAGTGTCGCTGGCGACTTCCGATAGTGTTAGCGCCCCTCCCAGATAGCGCCAGTTTGCCCGCTAGTGCACCAGAAATCCCATTTAACCCCTTGATCACCCCCCCCCCCCCAGTTAACCCATTGACTGCCCTGTCACCAGTGTCATTGATTACAGTGAACAGATTTTTACTGATCACTGTATTAGTGTCACTGGTGACTTCCGATAGTGTTAGCGCCCCTCCTAGATAGCGCCAGTTTGCCCGCTAATGCACGGGATTTTTTTTACCAAAAACATGTAGCAGAATACATTTTGGCTTAAATTTATGACTAACTTTGAGTTTATGATATATTTTTTATAGCTTAAAGTAGAAAATATTGTTTTTTTTCAAAATTTTCGTATTTTTTTTGATTATAGCGCAAAAAATAAAAAGCGCACAGGTGATCAAATGCCACCAAAAGAAAGCTCTATTTGTGTGAAAAAAAGGACGTAAATTTCGTTTGGGTGCAGCATTGCATGACCACGCAATTGTCATTTCAGTTAGTGCAGCGCTGTATAGCAAAAAAATGCATAAATTACAGGATCTATACCATAGTTTGTAGACGCTATAACTTTCACACAAAGCAATCAATATACACTTATTGGGATTTTTTTACCAAAAACATGTAGCAGAATACATTTTGGCTTAAATTTATGACTAACTTTGAGTTTATGATATATTTTTTATAGCTGAAAGTAGAAAATATTGTTTTTTTTTTTTTTTCAAAATTTTTGTGGTTTTTTTGTTTATAGTGCAAAAAAACGAAAAGCGCACAGGTGATCAAATACCACCAAAAGAAAGCTCTATTTGAGTGAAAAAAAGGACGTAAATTTTGTTTGGGTACAGCATTGCATGACCGCGCAATTATCATTTGAATTAGTGCAGCGCTGTATAGCAAAAAAAGGCATAAATTACAGTATCTATACCATAGTTTGTAGACGCTATAACTTTCACACAAAGCAATCAATATACACTTATTAGGATTTTTTTTACCAAAAACATGTAGCAGAATACATTTTGGCTTAAATTTATGACTAGCTTTGAGTTTACGATATATTTTTTATAGCTGAAAGTAGAAAATATTGTTTTTTTTTTTCACAATTTTTGTGGTTTTTTTGTTTATAGCGCAAAAAATAAAAAGTGCACAGGTGATCAAATACCACCAAAAGAAAGCTCTATTTGTGTGAAAAAAGGACGTAAATTTTGTTTGGGTACAGCATTGCATGACCGCGCAATTATCATTTGAATTAGTGCAGCGCCAAACAGCAAAAAAAGGCCTGGGCATTAAGGGGGGTAAATCCTCTGGGGCTCAAGTGGTTAAAACACTAATGTTTTTTGGATGATGATATACACCTTTGTATAAGTTTGTTATTAGCGCATACCTTTTAATTAGGATTATTGTTGCCAAAATTTATTTTGGGTGGGATATGCTGCTGACATTTTGGTGTTTTTTGTAAGTGGCGCTTTTTTTTCTTTTTTAATTTGGTATTAACATTGTGACATTTGATCGCGTAGTGATCACATGATACCCCACCCCACTGTGTCCTGTGGACACAGCAGTTAAAGGAGTGGCACTCTGTTTGCTGCCTGCCCACAGTAAAAGTACTGTGGGTGGACCTAAAAGAGGTTTTGCAGCTTATATAAGCCACTTCTTTAGTTCAAATGAATTTATATCCATACAGGTAACAACAACACCTTGACTCAGGCATCTGGAAAGGCAGATTATATTTTTTCAGAACAGGATGGGAGGTGACATTTGTGAAACCACCTTGTTATAGTGACATAATCCCATCCCTGGTGTCAAGAAGGCTTCATGGAGGTTATTTCTTTAATTTACATTGCTGAAGGTGTGAATTGTTGTCAAACTTCCTTCCTGTGTTGGGATATTCATTTAAGAGGTTGTTTTGTCTTCCTAATGTACAGGTCTTTGCATTCCTCACTAAACTGCAGTGCATATGTCAAGCTACTTTGCTTGTGTTTGGGTGTTGGGTCATTTGGATGTAAACGTTTCTGTCTCAGTGTATTGCTGATTTTGAAAGACACAGGGATGCAATGTTTGTTAAAGATCCTTCTGAATTTTTCCAACACTCCAACTACAGTACATACAGGATAACTTTGTGCTTTGCTTCTCCTCTCTTGTTCCACGGACCTGTGCTTTTGCTTGACCTTGTGAATGTTTAAACAAAAGCCCAATTTGACAATTCACACCTTCAGCCATATAAATCAAAGAATTAACACCTATGAAGCCTTCCTGACACCAAGGATAGGATTATGTAACAAGAACAGGATGGTTCCACAATTGGCATACCTCCCATCCTGTTCTTGGACAAAAGCCTCTGCTTTATTAACTGACATTCCATAGAACTGAAGAAGTGGCTTGGATAAACTACAAAACACCTTCAGCATTATAAGACAAGTTCAGTTGAATGTGAACTAGATATACCATGGCATGGATAATGAGGAACTTTCACAGATTTTGAAATGAATCCTTATTTCTAAACCTGGCAATAATTCTTAAATTGCACCCTAACACCTAACCAAAGCTTATAATATATAATCCTTAAACATGTCCAGTAAGATGTAAAAAATCAAATTTCATAATAAATTTAGTCCAAAATGTATTCTGCCACATGCCTTTGCTAAAAAAAATTCCCAGTAAGTGTAAATTAATTGGTTTATGTGAAAGTTATAGCGTTTACACATGGCGGTATATATACTTTGATTTTTTTTTTTTTACTAGTAATGACAGCAATCAGTGACTTATAGAAGGACTGCAGCGGGCATTCTGACACTGGGGGGAACTGACTTGGTGTCACTGACATCCCCAGTGATACCAGTACAGTGATCAGTGCTAACAAAAAGCACTGACACTGTACTAATGGCACTGGGCAGGAAGGTGTTAACATGAGGAATGATCAAAGGGTTTACTGTGTGCTGTTTTACTGTGTGCTGTGTTAGTGCTTTCAGCTGTAAGCACACTGCTTTGTATGGCTGTGCTATGCACAGCCATACAAAGCACTGTGCAGGAGCTGACAAGGGAGATAACTTTATTGTTTTAATAAAGCTCTCTCTCTCCGTCGGTAATGCTCGGCTCTCACCGGGGTGCCGGAGAGTAATCACTGGGCAGGACCTGGCGATTGACAGCGGCGCAGGTAGGGCATGCGTGCGGTTCGCACGTGCCCCCTACCTGGAAATGCAAAATCACTTATATATACGTGATTTTGCACACCCCTGCCGCCCTGTAGCAGTATATCTGCTATAGGATGGCAGAAAAAGCGGTTAATGAAGTATCTATATGAGCACATACCAAAACTTCTGATGTTAGAAGCATCTAATACCACTTCCTGGGGTTACCCCTAAACAGTTCCCTGTCCAAACTCTACATTGTTCTGTCTGATCAGGAAAGGATCAGGTGGTTTATGCACAGCCAAAGTAAGAAGACTACTAATTTATTGAGGTAATGCCTGCACATCATATGTTGTAGGACTTTTCAGCACCCTACTGATTAAACTCTTGTGTTGTCTAAAGCTAGCCATACAAAGCTAGATTTTTCTGGTTCAGCTCATGGGCTCAACAAGAGAAAATCAGTAGATCCCTCCATTCATGCTAAATAGCATGAATATAGAAATCTACACTTTACTTGAGCAGCAACAGCTGTTTAAATACCCAAACAGTAAATGTTTGATCAGAGGCCAAGCTGACAAGAAGGCTTCCCTTGCGGCTCTGGTCCAAGCACCCCTTAATATGGTGACAGAGGCACAAGGGTCAAAGTAGCATAGGTGCAGATAAATGGGTAGCAGGTGGAGACACACCAGGAGAGGATTATGGTTGGCAGACTACAAGATGGCACCTGGAAGCAGAACCTTGGGAATACAGTTTAAAGACTTGAGCAGGAGTAAACTCAGAAGTAGATGTAGGTAACTGCCAGGGTCAGAGACATAGTCAAGGCAAGCCAGAGTCATACACAGATGGGCAGGAGAAAGCGTAGTCAAATAGCAGGCTGAGGTCAGTACCAGGAAAGCAGGCAGTGCATGATAAGAGACAAGCCAAGGTTGGTATCTGGAATTCACAGAGTAAGGTCAGGAGGAAGCTGGGAGTTAGCAACGGGAGATCAGTTAGCAAGAGCAGGGACACAGATAATTGGGGATCTGAAGAACACCCAGAGATTACCAAACATCAGCACTTCCTTTAAATTGGCAGTTTGGTGCTATTCCCAGGTTTGTGAGTGTGCAGACGCTGTTGCACACAGATCAGCTGATGTGAGTGCAAGTCAGCTATTGGCAAAAGTTCTCTGTCTGCATGCCGGTGCATATGCACAGACATTGACTTCCTGACAGTATCTGATTGGATGCATTCAATATTTCTTAAACATTTGCCACCCAGCTTTTTTTATTTTTTTCAGCTGCGTTTTGTCAAGCTTTGTAGTGTCTACAAAGCCACGCACAGCTTGAATTCCATCTGAATTGGCTAATATTTGAGCCATATATGGCCAGCTTATTTATTAGAGGTTTATAGCTGACAACAAAGCTGTTGCTTACTATGTCTACTAAAATATACATGGTTAGGAAGAATTAAAGATTATATTACACTTGGTGTATCAGAATCCTTGACACCCACATAGGTCTTTATTCAGAATTATAGAAACAAGCTCAATTTGAAAAGATCTAACACAGGTTTTCTAACAATTAATTAAATTTTTCCAAGATTCTTGTCTAACAGAACATACATTTTTTTCTCTAAAAATAAACATCGAATCCTGCAATATTGAGTCATACTCCAAGATCTGCCAAGGATGGTTGACAACACATTAATACACAAAAAAAATGAACAATAGCTTTGTGGTAATGAATGTCTTCAAATGTCTAAAAATCCCCGTAGGCATAAGCTATTTAACCAGTAATAAATAACAATCTAGGGATATATGACAGATTTGCCCCAAAGCAATGCAAGAGATTACTTATCTGGAATCCTCATGGTTGTCTTCAGCAACAGATAGACATCTTTAACAGATGCTCTTTCCTCTTAGTATGTGCCCTGTGTGTTTATTCTTCAACTATTGAAAGCTGGTCACCAGTGGATGCTTAGACAACATGCACATCTAATATCTCGAGGGGGGCGTGGCTTGGTGCATGGAGCTGTAGGACGTGTCCCTCAGCAGCTCCCAGTCCTCACTCCTACTGCAGTGCTATTTACCCTCACTAACTATCCTTAAACCCCACACATTGGCAGGAACCAGCACAGGGACCCCAAGAAGTCCGTAGAGGGCTGCTTTGGAGGCGATTTGGGCTGCTTTTTCACTAGATGTGCAGCAGCGGCCCCACATACCCAGGCCGGCAAGATCACGCCAGTGCCTCGTTCTCCTCCTGGTACGGAGCCTTCGGACAACCTACACGTGAGCTCCCACAGCCACATCTCCTCCCCTGGAGGCTCAGATGGGTTCTCTCAACGCTCCTATCCCAAACTTCATTATGTTTTGGGGATGGCTGGGACCTGAAGTCCCACATCAGGTCTCTGCATTCCTATATTAAATACCTACCTACCAAGGATGACTTTGAGCATTGTGTAAAGCACATTGAAAAGACATATAAACAGGAGATATCAGAGCTTAAGAAAGATATGTGTCCTCATGGAAGAAATTGAAAACACCTCTGATGGACTTTGCAACACCTTGCAATCCCATGAAGAGACTTTTAATTCTCACACGGTACTATTACAGCAACTTATGAACCAACAGGATGACATAGAAAACAGGAACCATTGCAACAATATTAGAATTCGGGGCATTCCGGAATCTGTGGAACCTAAGGACTTAGCAACAGCAGCTACTGCTATTTTCAATCAATTAATGCAACAGCCCAAAGATGCACCCATTGAATTGGATCAGGTACATAGTACCTTAGGCCTAAGAAATCCCAACCCCCTCATTTGTTCATGACACACTGTGTTGAGTTCATTATTACAAGGGCAAAGATGCCATCATGCGCGCGGCAAGTACGCAAGACACCATACTCTTTAACGAAACTCCTGTCATGCCCTTTCCTGACATCTCCCGGCACACCCTGAATATGCACAAGGCCTTAAAACCGTTCCCGCAATTTCTTCAAGATCGCCGCATCCGGTACCAGTGGAGATTCCCTTTTCAACTCAGAGCCTCCCACAATGGCAAGTCTGCACAGTTTCACACTCTTGGGGGATTTACCCAACTTCCTTGGCACCTTTGAACTGCCCCAATTGTCTTTACCGGATTGACCTTTTCTACCAACAACGCCGAGATTACCTTTTGCCCTGCAATGGCAACGACAAGGCAAGAAGAAACATTCAAGGTTCTCCTCCCACAAGGCCTCAGATGACTGACTGACTCTCCGCCTTAACTGAGGGGTTTTCCCTCTTTGCCTCCTCCTTGAGGGTTTGTACCCCTGGCGTGCAACCTTATGTGGTTACGTTGGTTAATTGCTTCTGTTGATATCCATTAGTGATTTCATACTCTGACTACTTTGGATTGTGGTGGGCTCCCGCATCCCCCTGTATGTGTCCCCTAGGTGGGAGGTGTGGGGCTTCCTACAATCCTCTGGGATATTTTACAATTATTGCATTCAGGATATTCCCGAAACTTCCAATGCAGCAAACTTAATCTGTTTGTTTAGTTACCAAAAAAACAAAATTGTATCTTTTTTTTTTTGTATGAAGGTCTACTTCACCTTTTTTGTGTGTTACTCACTCAGTTGAGTGGCTTTCCACTCCATTCATTCCCTGCGGGAGGACTGAGCCAGGAACTGCTCTGTGTGCCTTTGACATTCTCCACCTAGGCCTCTCGGTTCTACCGTTATGCACTGCTTGATGTTTGGACAAATTTCTGTCTGTTGGTTATTTGTTATATGTTTACTGTACTCTTTGGAGCCACTTAGTGGCTCTCCCTCTTTTCTTAATTTTTGGGTGGATTCCATCTCAATACCTGCATTCATCCATGACCTGCCCTATCTGGAGTTGCCGATCCTACCCCTCTCTCTCCTCTACCTTCCTTTCCTCTGTCCTTTATTTGTCCTCTCTTCCACTTCCTTCTGACCTTTACTTGGTCTGTATCTTCCTTTCCCTTTTTCCCATCCTTTTCCCCTTTCCCTTCCCCCTCCAGCCCCTCCACCCCCCCTTTTTTTTTCCATACATCTCAACATACCCAGCCTCCCTACGGCTTCTCAAAGATTCCCTGTGTAAGGCGGATGTCATGCGTGCCATTCAAAACTTCGTTCTTGACCATGCTACTGATACAACGGGTCCCCTCAACCAATGGGAAGCCCTTAAGTGTGTCCTTAGGGGTGTTTTTATCCAACACAGCTCTCGTTTGAAGAAAGTCTCAGCATCTGAGACGTGTCAGTTGTTCTCGGTTATTGCAACTCTAGAAACCTCCCATAAGCAAAAACTGGACCCCTCGGTTTATGTAGATTTATCTAATGCCCGTTATGGTCTCCTTCAACTATTAGATTACTCTCATTGCCCAAAATAAGGTGCATAATTGCCATTACTCTTTAGCTAATAAATGTGGTCAACATTTGGAAAAGGTGCTCCATCCACATCCACCTCCCTATCCAATGTATTCACGCGTCTGATAACACTAAAATACGAACAACTGGGGAATCTTCTCCTCATTCAAAAAGATACTACTCTCAACTTTACAATCTACCTTCCTCTTCCTCCAGTGACCCTGCTGACCTCTATCTTACTTATATGTTGACATACATTAATGAGATAGCGTGACTGATTATTGATGCACAGGACGACTTGGACCTTGAGGAACCCTTTTCAGTGCTAGAAGTATTAGGTGTAATCAAAGGCCTATGTGTCCATGTTTCGTGCAGTAAAAGCTTCTTTCTGGCACCTCGACCAAACAGCTCATTTTTGTTCAAGTGTAACCGTATTGTATTCCTTAAAAACAACCACACCATCTTTTTCCAGAGCAGCCTGTATTTCTTTTGAGGTTGCCTGTGGGTTTTTCTTTGAATCCTGGACAATTCTTCTGTTAGTTTTGGCTGCAATCTTTCTTGGTCTACCTGACCTTGGCTTGGTATCAAGAGATCCCCAAACTTCCCACTTCTTAATAAGTGATTTAACAGTACTGATTGGCATATTCAAGGCTTTGGACATCTTTTTATGTCCTTTTCCATCTTTATAAAGTTCCATTACCTTGTTACGCAGGACTTTTGACTGTTC